TGTGTATATATATGTATATGTATATATGTATATATATGTATGTATATATGTATATATGTATATATATGTATGTATATATATATATATATATATATATATATATATACGTATATATATATATATATATATATATGTTTATATGTTGTCGATAAACCTGGTGTCTGAGGTGATGATGCATGGCAGACGACCAGCTTTAATGAAGATGAAGCCTGATCAAAAAGTTCTCCTCAGCAGCTGAAAACAAAAGGACTGAACTCCTGCTTTAAATCAAGCTAAATATGATAATGTGTAATCAAAAGTGTTTTACTGTTTTACTAATAATCAACAAATAATCAACTAATGAAAGTATTGATTTTTAAGAATTGTATAATCCATTCTATGATTGTGTGATTTACTTGTGAAGTGTTGAAGTTAAAGAGCAGTTCTGAGGCCTCATGTAACAGTGAACAAGTCCGGACATGCCCGTCTAGGACAGGCCTGGGCTTGCCTCGAGCAGTAGAAAGAGAACAAGAAGTCATGGGGTTCAAACTCAACTCATCTCATGATGACGCATTTTTGAGCAAAACAAAGTTCTGGAATGTACCAGAAAACTGGTCTGAACCGGTTGAGGTGCAAAACAACAGACAAGTTACTGGAAAAGAGATGATGTAATTTTCCACAACCCCTCCTTAAGAGGAGGAGGGAAAAAGAGGTCTTTAAATACAGACTGAACGGATGGAACTTGGTCAATGCTGAGTCAAAGCTGAACTGGAGAGCCGAGCAGAGGGAATCACAGGCAAGAGGCAGCTCGACGGATCAGAAGGAGCCCAAAAAGGAGTCTTGAGACGATGTTGGAAGTTAATTCTTTTCTTCACTGAGATGGGATTGGATTTAAGCTTTCGTTCATCAACACTTAAACTGGACGAGCTTCCTTCTTCTATTAATAGCTTGACCTGGGCCCGTCCAAAATTCTGATTTTTCTAATTTGGAATAGCTGCGCTTGCCTTCGAGGATCGGCCGGTACCTCTCTCCTAGGGGACTGGAAATATGCCCTTACCATCACAGTGACTCACTAAGGGTCGCCTTAGAATCATGGTAAGCGGACGACCTCATTCTTACCCTGCTCTGATTAAATTGTTTCATCAAATTGGAAGAATAGCATACAGGATAAATTTAGGAGTACTAAATTGGTTACTGGTGAGACTTGCTCGAAGGTGCTTCTGGTTCATGAGGGAGCTGAGGGAGAACATCTTTTGGCTTTATTTGTGAAAGGTCTATGTGAAGGCAGTATCTATAAATCCTCAAGGGCTCTTGAGATTTAGAAGTCCTCAGATAGTAGTCATCGCCTCACTTAAGGAAGAAAGTGTATCCTATGTACTCATGAAATCTAATCATTATAAAATTGTGCCTGATGCTGTATCCCCTGCCAAACTATTGATTAAAGCAACGCAAAATGAATAATTCTGGACTATTATTTCACCCTTAATGAACAAAAACATGGTAATGCTTGGTTCACTTAACAACACCAATAAAGGAGGTTTTGAAAGGTTTATTACCTACTGAGTGACAACACCCTTGTGCCCATTTCCAGGGCCCTAAAGATTACCAGAACAGTTAACAATTGCAACGCTAAATTAAGAGGTGAGCGGCCACAACGCGAGTTTCTCTGGACCAGAAGATCCATCCCTGCTGCTTGGAGGTTCAAGGTAACAGAGTGAGATCAGGGTGTGGCTCACGGATTTAAGGTCGTTAATATTCTGGATGAATCACCTCGTCGCAGTCTTAATGAGGCTACTTTAGACAGCTACAGGTAATACCACGGCGCTGAAGTAAGCTTCCGGACCCCTTGGAGGAGAGGCTGCAAGCAAAGGTGCTTATCGCTACTTCCAGTGGTTACCTTTGCTTATCGGAAAGCAAACAATATATATATATATGTATGTGTGTGTGTGTGTGTGTGTGTAATAGAATAAATAATAGAAATAATAAGTTTGACAAATTATGGAAGGACTCTTGTTATTTCTATTCTGATCATGTCAGTTGTAGATTATGATTAAATTAGTTTTGTGGATGCTGTCTTATCCCTAAGACATTTCTGAATAAGTAAAAGCTGTTGATGAGATTTTCTCAGTTATCAAACTAGTCAACAGAGCAGTGTAGATTTTGCTCCTTACAGATTACCTGCGGTGGCGATACTGATGACGAGGGTGAAGATAGACCAGCCTGCCTCTGCAATATCCCTGCAATGCCCCAAATTATACATAAATCGCTAAGGATAAAACATGCCTACATATAAGTTACATACACTAGAGGCATGAGATTAATGGTAAGGAAAGTTTAGTTGTTTTATTTTCTTAAAAGTATGATCTCTGATTGGTAAATTGTATTATAGCATATTAATTATCTATATTAACTTAATTAAATGTCTAGATATATGTATCCTGCTTTGTTATTTAGAATGATATTGTCTAAAAAAGTTAAATCTGGTCCTCTGGACATTCAAAAAAACAAAACAAAGCAAATCAATAAAAAATGTAGAAACGTTTCGTCTCTCATCCGAGAGACTTCCTCAGTCTGAGGAGCTGTATTCAGCTCAGTCTCTTAAATAGCACCGTCTCAGAGTGGATCAACCAGTTTTGCTGCTGACAACCAAAACCAGCTGATCACATGCTCAAGAAGGACCATCAGCATAACAATGGATCATTAGCACACTGATGGCTGTTTACTGTTCACAGAGGGCTGAGTGATACTAGCAATCACAACATTGTAAGAGGGGGACAGTTGAACCCGGAGGCCTCCACCCCTGTTTAACGATGGACGATTTCTTTTCACAAAGA